TCGGCGTCCATCTCCTCGACGCCCAGCGGAGGAGGATGGGCCGGTAGAGGAGGATTCTCAGATTCCAGTGCCGCCACATGAGGCGGTTGCGGACGAGAGCGAAGTTGTCCGACTCGGGTGTTGTAATTGGTTGCTTGAAGTAATGCGGGAGGCCGTTGTACCAGTCTTCCATGGGTTTTGAGAGACCCAATGTCTCCTCCGCGGTTAGACTTGGTGTTGATATCAGACGCTGGTAGACGCTGTTGGTGTGTAGGTGGAATTTCGCCTGCGCGATCATGCCTGAGTAGATAGTCGGCCCGTTCTCCTCGGCGGGTAGCACGGTGGTTGTTGATGTGAGAGCCTGTGATTTGCGTTAGATATTGAATGAGCTCATTAGAATGCTCGTGAAGGGGATTAGTATTACCTCGTCATGAATGTTGAGAACGTGCTTTGCATCCATGACACTGTCCTCTGGTAAAAGGATAGGTCGACCAAAGGTTTTCGCCGCGCCACTGTCGAATATATACACACCCCACCATAATCGTCTCCTCATCTCTCGCTGAAGTAGACTGATTTTCCACCCTGGGAACTCCTTGTGCAGACCAAGGCTCATGGCCATTCGCACAGCCAGGCCCAAGAAATTCCAGCCAGTGTTCGGCTTGTTTCTCTTCTGCGCATAGTTACTCAGAAGTAGCAGGGCTAAGATGAGAGTAAGATTTCCTGTCTCAAAAACAGACACCTGCTGCAAGTGGCTTCTGGCTTCCTGGTAGAATGTGATATCAAGGTCGGAGTTGTCATCTCCAATGCTCCATGCCCCAAGAGCTAGAATGGTATTGAGAAGAATCTGCCACGCCTGTCCATGGGGGCGGGGAGCTTGTTCATAGAACTGCGCTTTGAAGGTGGCTTCGTGCACAAATGGATAGCTGGTATGGTAATTGAGGAAGAAGGCATCCATGAAGGCTTGCTCAATGAGCCCGGAAGGTGCAGTGCTCAGAAGCTGGCTCTTCAAAGGCACTCTTTCCGCTGGCTTATTCGGACTAGCGGGAAAATTCAGATCGAAACCATGCTTCAATAATGCTCGAAGAGGCACCACACTGGAAGATGCGCCTGTGGAGGGAGTTAGCAGCCGTTTAAGATTTCCTATGTTTTGGTTCGAGACGAACCGAAATAGCCTGTTCCCTCGGGCTTTATCGACAAGGCGGCCATTCCATCAGTCAAATCGCCTACTGTGATTCTGTTCTCGGCCCAATCGAACCCGTCCGCTTGTTGCGGAAGAGCTTCAGGGGCTGGTTCGATTCGATCTGCCTCAGCCTTGGCTGGGGTTGAATGCCTTGACGAAGACTTGGGCGAAGACACAGGCTTCTGCGGTGCATCTTGGTCCTGCAGCAACGAGCGAACAGTAGCGTCCAGGTCACCTCCAGGAAACAGCCTTCCTAAAGCTGTTTCAAAGGCTTGCAGGCGCTCTTCGACATAGGTTAAATGTCTGACAACAACGCGTTAGCCATTCTGTAGTAGTAGCAACGGAAGGGCAAACTCACTGTCGAGTGAGAGGACTTCTAGTGATTTTTGGACTGTAATTGCATTCTTTGTTCAGCTGCTTGCATTGAGCGCATGTTGGTCGTTCTTTCGAACACTGTGAAGTGTCAATAGGATTCATCTGCTCATACCAAAATGGATATACCATACCCTAGACTTTCTTAAACGGCACTCATCACACTGGAAACAAAATCAGCCACTCCCGATTCCTTGACTGGGATTAGTGGAAGTCTGGGGCACATACAGCATATGAGTGGGAATCACGAGTACTGGCCATTTTTATCGATGATAATCTGGTTGTTTGTAATGTAGGTCAGGTGTACGTTGAGAGTTACACCAGACTGGTAGCATCTAATCGAGTATAGCAGAGTTAGCACTCAGCGCCGGTTTCATCATTCCGCATCTTCTCCCCTGTACCGTAGTCAGGCATGAGCTCATTGATTTTGAAAGGAATCAATGCGCAATGGCCAGGGTGACTGGCCGTATTGCAATCTACATGGGGGAATAGGGGTGGAGAAGAATGGACAGGGCATTTCAAGCAATGAACATAACCCGTATTCACACCAACAGGCGGTATACAAGTATTTAAAGACAGATGGACTTGCGACAAGATAAATCGGGAAATATCAAGTGAATAGACAGAACATGGCTGGGGAATCTCAGGGCGAGAGGATATCGTGGGGCCAACTCACGATCGGCATAGGAACAGTATAGGATCCACGCTTCAGGGACCGGACAACCAGAAATCACAAATTGATGCAGTTTCCAAACCCATGGGAAGGCGAGAGGATATCTTTCATTTGACTTGGTGTTTGAGACTCAGACTACTGGATTCCAAGTCGAGACATCCTCGTTTTGTGCTCGATGAGAAGAAAGTCGTGAGGGGAAGTGGCAGTCAGTCAGGTGATGGGCGCAAAATTTTGTTGAATAACGGTCCATTTTGTTGTCCTCAGGCACATCTGGGCCCTGGCAATTCGGGTCAATTGGGGTTCAGTAAGTCTTATGGAAGTATTACAAATGACTTGGTACTTTTATTGATATGCTACAGCTCAATCATCCAGGCTCTTTGGCAATGTCATTTCGGAAAGGCCTGCTCGTTTCGGCGATTCTTAAATGGACTAGGTTCGTGCTATAGTATGCTTTGGCTTGAGAAGTTGCAGTACACCTGCAGAGTAACTACAGCATTGTTGAATTTAGAGCAATCGAAAAGGACACATTGATAGAATGGGCAATATTGAGTTCTTTTACGGGCTAGACCTCGCTGCATATGATCAGTGGCTGACGAACACACCAGCCTGGCTGCATCTAAGCCCTTTAACGAAGTATATTTATTGCAATCCTCTCCCCATATCACATGTCTCTTTCCATGTCGCCTATGCTTTCTTTCTTATCGCCAGGATGAGCTTTCAATGCGAGCCCATTACGCTCCTAGAAGCTAGAGTAAATGAGATATCTTGAGATAAAAAGCCAGCAGAACGTCTAGATTCGTTCGAGCGCAGCATTTGAAAGGCATCATATTCGTACCAGCTTGCCTGAGGCAGAAGGCTGTCTTGGCATCAACGCGGATATCGACCAATCAGTCATATTTTCTATACAACGTCATCTCCTCGATACTAACAATATCGAACTAAATTCCGCACAATTACGGTACTCTCAAGACAGAGCTCAGCTGGTATTTACGAATATCAGTTTTGATTGCGCTCACCGGTGCAACATCCCGGAGAAAACTGTCGTTTGATTATGCCCTCCCAACCGGCAGTACCACCCCTCCTAACGCCATATGTAACCTCCCACCCTCACTCCTCTCTCACAGTCTTGTCCTCAGTACTAGACGCAACGGGCAATTGGCTTGTCCTGCGATTTCTCTATGCTGCACTAAGCGCGCCGTCCAACTCCCACGTCGCGTTCGGTAGCGATGGCGTTGATGGGCGGAAAAGGCGCAAAGTCGCGCTTGTAAGTTTTCTGCGGGGTTGGGATTTTTGGAGGACAGAAGCAAAGAGATTGGTAAGTTTGCTCCCCCAGCTGGATTTTTTCCTAGCCCAAAAGTGTAGTCGCTGTCTATGGGCTTCATTATTTATGCCTTTCATTCCCTGAATTTTCAATACAGTAACAGACTGACACTCCTAGGGTTTGGATCTTGCGCGCCTGACGGACAAGGGCCAATTTGCCTTTGTCGATGGACTCTCGGAACTCTTCTACGCGCCTTCGGCGACCCAAAGATCACCGGCGCCACTATCTTCGCCCTCTGCCATTCCTCCAAGGACTGTCCTCCCTCTGCGCACATCCCTAGGCGCTGTGCCGGGACGAGCTCCGCAACCTCTGCCGCGACCGAGCTCCACGGTCCCGAGCACAGCCTCGGCCGAGAGTGGACGTACGAAACGACTACATCTCTCCGGCAGCGGGTTCGGAGCCCTTGACCCACTCGAGAACGACATCGCGAATGTGATCGAACAGCTCAAAACCTCGAAAGACGGAGATGAAGGGGAACCCGAAGTACTACTAGTCATTGACCAACCGGACATGCTACTGGCCGCTTCGGGTCCGAATAAGGGTATAGGCGCTACCGAAATGGGGGAATGGGTCATGGGACTACAAGAGGTACGATCATCGAGGGAGAGCCAATTACTGTGCTGACCGAGCGTAGCATGCTTATGCGACAATCCTGACGCTTGCCGCCGATTCGCCGTTGATACACAATGTATCAACATCCGCTTCGCAATCGGCAACGCCATTGGAGATGGAGCATGCCGCCTTTGCCATTGGATCGGCTCATCGGGCGGAGATGGTCATGCAACTGCGCAGTTTGGAAACGGGTGCGGCCAGGGACGTCAGTGGAGTGCTGAGGATAAGTAAAGGAGGCGCCTGGGGAAGGGGTGAAAAGACAGGTGCTGAGGGTGATTGGGAAGAGAAAGAGGTGTTGTACTTCATTCAAAGAGACGGAGGCGTCAGGATTTTCGGAAGAGGGGAATAAGAGTGTTGCCTCAGTTGTTGATGGGGAAATTGTCTCTTCCGGAAATCAGGCGTTCTGAGGCGCGGAGGACAAAATCAAACCAATGCGACGGCTGGCACGAAATCGTCATTTGAAGTGTTTGGTCGTTCTGTAGATGCAAAAGGCCTGTACAATGCGTAAAAACAGGTAAACTCAGTAAGACAGATCGTAGCATTGGGAAGATATCACAACACTGTATCTGCCACGCGGGATATTCGCCAGCCATAAACAAGGAAAAGAAATCCACGCGTGCTTTCCCTTGCAAACATCCCTTGAATTTTTGTTCGGTCTTCCATTTGTCGTCAAATTTGTGCCCATTTATTCTTTTAGTCTAGAACATGATTGCTATGACGGCAAAGAGAAGACCCGTCCCAACACCAACTCCATGGGAAAGCGTCATTTTCGCCTTGAATTGAAACCGGTCACTTCAAATGCCAGGCCATTCATACCAGCCCTCTCCAGCCTCCGAGAACGAAACCGCGACGTCGAATTCAATTTAGTGGATTTCGGGACCACGGGCGCCCTTGGGAGTGCCGACCTGGAAGCCGTTCTTGAAGCGACGGTGAACATCCTTGAGGTGGCTCATTCTGCCGGTGCCGGTGGTCTTTCTTCTCTTGGCCTTCTCGCTCCAGTTGTCTGTTGTTAAAAGAAAATCTGTAAGCCAACATTCCAAAACTCAACCACACAGCCGTGATTGAAAGGGTTCCATTGTCGACCAAGCACGGGTTCAAACAAAAGAAATAACGACAATCGGGGAATCCGTACACTTGCGAACCTTAGCGGAGGGGTAACCGCAGTTGGCACAGGTCGACTTCTGGATGTGGAAGGAGCGTTTGCCTGCAATCGAAAATCACAAGGTGTTAGCCCATCTGAATCCTATCGTTTTCCTCCGGCAATATCCCAACACCGTCTCCCATATAGAGATCCGCATGAATCTTCCACCGGAACAATCTCGAAAGGTGAAATACTGACCACAACGCCGGCAGAGGGTGTGAGACTTGTTGTGGCGCTTGCCGAAGCTGGAGGTACCCTTCGCTGTAATCGTTGTCAGTCTGCTAGAATCTTTCGACGAGAAAGGCTATCGGCGCTCGGTGAAATGTCGAATGTGTACGTACTCATCTTGAATTAAGGAACTGCGGAATTGACGCAAAATTAGTACAATATGTCGCTTGAAAAATGAGAAAAAAAGGTACGGCAACAGACGCAATAGCAACTTACCTGGCGATTCCGTTGAAGGGCTGGTTGTCGTTGTCGTCGCTGGGCGTATCGAAAGTTGCGCTGAGATCTGGGGCGGGTGTCGCTAAGCGAGTTGTGGTATCCAGGGCTTGTGCCCTCGTCCCGTGATTCCAGAATCTCCCGCAAATTGGAGGTCACCTGACGTCTGAACTGGGCATCGACGCCACTATAGATACACTAGCCCATTTCGGAATTAGCCTTGTTTTGACTGGGCATCTCATGCTTTTACTGTACTGTCGCTTTACTACGGAGTACTTCAGTCTACCTAGAATTGCACCATCCAAAGCAGAAGACTTCAGTCGCCTGCAAGAGCCAGGTGAACTAGCATTCGCTCGTCTGACTGTTTGTATATCTCACTAATGGGATAAATTGCATGATGATAGTCCTAGGTATAGAGAACATTCTCCTTAATACAACTTAAATGGGTATTGAGTAAATGAAGATCAGCCCCAAAACGCCCTTCTGGTGATGCAAAAATGGCATATGCGACAATTGTAATTTGAAGCTTAACGTAAGGTGTCACAATCATTCTTTCCCGATGAACGAAGCCATTGGATCGTCAGCGGCGAGACGGCTTCGTTTGTATGACTCCAACTCTTCCTCACTAACACCAGATTTCATCTCCATCATTGTTCTCTTCTTAGTGTTGGTCTCGGTGTCTGCTTTTCGCTGACTGCGATCGGTCGAATCCTCGGCTTCATGGATGTTGTTTGTCTCGCCCTTAGCCGGAGCGGAGGTTTGGTCACTCGGCTCTGGGCCAGGCAGCAAACCCATCGACCTCATTTCTGCTTCCTCGAATGCTTTCTTACCGTCTTCACCGGTACAATAGCTATTTTTCACCGTTGAAAAACAGCAAGCGTAACCCCATTGGAAGTCATGCCACCAGCTTCCAAATACTGTAGTGTGGTTGTTCACCAATACATCTTCTGGATATTTGGACTTGACTGCGTTCTTCGGCGCACCCTTGATTGCGCCAGTCTCGTCATATTCGACGAACCTTTCGTTCTCAATGACCACGGTTTCCCGGAGGGGCGTAGGTTTGAGATGCTCCTCGCCACCGTATTTCTCCAATAGTGCCTTCCGTTGAGCCTGGCGCTTCGCCTCACTCTCGGCCTGCTCTTTCTTTCGTAGGATTTCACCAGATGTGGGATTAGCTTGGAGATGGATCTTTTTATCTCCACGTTCTTGCGACTCCCAAGCATACTTTTGAGCTCTCTCAAATTCTGCGGCGTCCCCAGACGCGCGAACAAAATTCTCCTCGGCAACGAGAGCTGCGGCTTGATCATCCTGCGCACCCATATCGACCATTCGCCGTGTTTTAGGATCGTACTTGGCCGAATCGAGGTCAAGGTTGAGCAGGTACTTTGCAGTATCTTCTCGAATACGTAGATTGCGAGTCGCAGTGCTTTGTTGTCGTCCCATATCTGATTCTTCAGCGTACCGGGCTTCCTCTATAGCAGCTTCCTCATCGTCCAATTCGCCATCCGTAATCATTGTTCCGTCTTGACCGCCCGGTTTCGTACTGCGTTTCAGTTTTTCGAGCTCCTCATATTCCTCAATAACCTGACGGTATTCGCTGGGATCGTAGCCATTCCATCGGTCTCTCTTAGCGTCCCACCCCAGTTCAACGTTCTGTACAACCTCATCTGCCTGTATATCTTTACCCGTCCATTTAGCACCGAGCTTTCGGGGTCTGCTTAGACACTCTTTTGTTTTGTGGGTCATGGCACCGCAATTCTCGCAAGCGCCTTTGCGATACTTGGTGGCTGCTGGACCAGCGCGCTTTCCACGGTCGTACCATTTGGATTGATCTGTAGCCTGTTTTTGAAGGCGTTGATGTTCGAGATAATCATTAGCAGTCGACTCATCATCGATGTAGAACGGTTTCTTCGCGATAAAAGACGGGATATATTCGTTGCGCTCTTTTGACGCCACATCAGCTGGTTTCCGCGACATGGTGTGAATATTAGCAAAGTTGGAGCCAGAGAAATGAGCCTGATCGTGACGTCCAATTTAACAGAGGTTGAAATGGATAGTCGCGGCCTCCACTTTCGCGCTAGGAAGTCGAATTTGAGCCTGTCTCAGAAGTACCGAGGATTGATTCGTCGTTCTTTCATGATCGGCGATAACATCGGGATCTATCACGTGACTGGGCGTTTCTTGGGGCGCGTAGGTACACTCTGTAAATATGTTGATTACGTTACACGTCATGTTCCCACTTCTAAGTCCTATTTAAACGACGAAGATCATCCCAAGGATTCCTGGCTATGCCGCTAATATATGCCCGCAAATGATATGATCCTTGATTTGCTTCCGCGCGCTATGTCGCAGACGGCTTTGGCTGTTTTGAAACCATTCGATGGAGCCCTTTCAAGTGCGCCTGAACTGCGTTGATCATTATCAGGCGACCCCATCAGAATTTGATCCTCCTCTTCCCTACAGGGATGGAGCCGCTGGGAAATATGATAAGTCGAAAGTACCTGTGATCAGAATATTTGGCGCCACAGAAACTGGCCAAAAGGTCTGCGTCCATGTACACGGCGCGTTTCCTTATCTATACATCGAATACGATGGGCCTCTAGATCCCGAGCAAGGTAAGTTCAAATCGCGCTGCACTACACCAAGTCTTTTTCTCATCCGACGGCAGTTCGCTCCGCGATCAGGAGTCTCCATCTCTCCATAGACCATGCACTGGCATTGAACTATCGTCGCAATGCGTACGATAAGAAGACTGCGTTTGTTGCTCACATTACCCTGGTTAAAGGAGTTCCGTTCTACGGCTACCATGTGGGGTATCGCTTCTTCTTCAAAATATACTTGCTTGACCCTGTCTACACGACCAGATTAGCGGATCTACTGCTTCAAGGCGCCGTGTTGAAGCGCCCTTTGCAGCCATATGAAAGCCACCTGCAGTATGTCCCGCAGTGGATGTGCGACTACAATTTGTACGGCTGTGCCTACATGAAGTGCAGCAAAGTCAAATTTCGGTCACCTATTCCGGAGTACTTTGAGCTTTCGAATCTGTCCCATCGGTGGCATGATCGGTCAATCCATCCTGATTGTGTTTCCGATGCAACACTGCTTCCAAAGCAGAGCCATTGTCCCCTCGAAGCGGATGTCTGCGTACATGATATTCTGAACCGCGTCGACATAAAGGAAAGACCTCTCCATCAGGATTTCACTGAAATGCTGAAGCCGATCGCTCAGAATGAACGCCTGGTTCCCAGTATGGCGGGTCTCTGGCAAGATGAGACTCGTAGGCGCAAGCAACGCATGGGCCTCGGTGACCCCGACAGTAGCCCCTTCGGACCCGAGGAACTGATGTCGTTCTCAGCTGATCCCAGAAACCATTCGGAGGGTGGCTGGATTCATGAAGATGAATTTCGGCAACTGATGTCGCAAATCGTTGCGGAAGAGCGCAAACAAAATAATGAAGATATGACTCTAGATAAAGTCTTGCAGAATGAACCTCTTGAGAAGAAGATCAAAACAGCCTTGGAGAGTGTCGAGGACTTTTTTCCGGACAAGATTGAGCTCACTCAGATGGAAATGCGGCAGTCTCTGATCGCAGTTGATGGAGACGGAGAAGCTCAGGTCAATGAGAATGCAGCCTTGTCTGCTGAGGCGGACATTGACTTGTACTCGTCAGAAGATTATTACATCTCCAATCCTTTATCGGACGATCATGGAGCTGCTGAAGAGGTTGTTAATGGTGTCGATGACGGCGCCGGAGATGGAATCTTTGATATGACACTTCAGAGCTTCGAACCACATTCTGCTGCAGCGAATGACATTATGCCGGCCGAATCACCAGATCTTCCACTTCATGACGGGAAATTGCAGGAAAATGATCCGAACCACATTCACAGTGGCAACGCTTTTCATGACGACACTGAGAATTCAAGAAGGAATCCTAAGCGATCACACCAGGAAATACTTGACTCTGGTGTTCCTCGGAAGAAACTGAGATTCTTCGATGGCAATGCATCTCATTTGCCGGATAGCAGCCCCTTTCAGCAAACTGCTAACATCCACGCTGTGAATGAAGGCCCTAAAGCTGCATCCATTGCCAGCGACAGTACATCATCTACATCAACTAAGAGTGTTTCGTCTCGGGCGACGCCGCCAGCTTCCCAGGACCCTCATTTGAAGAAAAGCGGACAAAGTGGAAGACTCAACTTCCCCGTTGTCAAAGATCCAAACGACCCTATGACAATTATGCGTTTCAGCCAGGACTGCTCTCCCAAGACAGTTCTGGAAATTGACAACCAGACTGTCTCTCAGCCTCCCGAGAAGACTACCAGTGGAAGTGAGCCTACTTCGCAATTACAACCATCCTCGTCTGGCTTAGAGTCAAACATTTCAAATACTCATGTGTCCGATCTGGCGCCGATGATTTATGATGCATTCAATATCTCTGAAGGCGTTAGGGTTTGTTGCTGGCGGTACGCCTGCCCCAATGCCAGTGAAGTTTCGGCAACACTTGCAGACCATGGCTATCCGTCTGTCATCTACCAGAAAGCATACTATAGTGACGATAAAGATGTCCCTGATCGACCACGAGATTATGCGGGTCGAGTATCCCGACTAGAGGGAAGCAGCATACATTATCTGCCTGATTTTGATCCTTCCGGACGGTCGCCTGCTATGCTCGGTGAGCACGCTTCGATGTCGAGGGACCGATACCAACAAGAGCAAATAGATCAGCATTTAAGGGTATCCTCCACTTCCAGAGTATGGGAGTTTGCTCCCGTACCCCCAAGCCGCGCAGAAGTCTTGGAATGGTTTGACAAAGAACAATCCGAGCGTCAAACGCAACCGAAAGCAGCTAAAGAGCCAGATACCGAGCCACAATTGAAGCCCAACGTTCTGTCGCAGATTGAGGGACCTACGCAAAAGAACGATTACGGTTTTAAGTATTCTCAGAAAGGGAAATCTGCGAGCGTCGAGCATCAGACCCAGTATATGAGCTCTATGAGCCTGGAAGTACATGTGAACACTCGGGGTGTACTCCTACCGAATCCGGAGGAGGATGAAATATCCTGCATCTTCTGGTGTATACAATCGGACGACGAGGACATGGACGTCAACGGCAACCTTCCAGGTGTTCATGTGGGAGTGATCGCTCAAGGGAGTGGCGATGGTCCGACATCAAAGTTGTCGAAGGCTTTGCGTATCGAACTGGAACGCGAACCGACAGAACTCGATTTGATCAACAGATTGGTCGATATTGTTCGCTATCATGATCCTGACATTATCACCGGCTACGAAGTCCATAACGGCTCCTGGGGATACCTAATTGAGAGGGCAAGAAAGAAATATGACTTCGACATATGCGATGAGCTATCCCGAGTGACATCACAAGCGCATGGAAGATTTGGTAAAGATGCTGACAGATGGGGCTTTAATCACACGTCTTCGATCCGGGTCACCGGTCGACACATGATTAACATATGGCGAGCTATGAGGAGTGAGCTGAATCTGCTACAGTATACTATGGAAAATGTGGTGTTCCATTTACTGCACCGTCGAATTCCGCACTATTCGTATCGGGACCTCACGGCATGGTATCAGAGTGGGAAACCCAGGAATCTGCTCAAAGTGGTCGAGTATTTCGTCTCGCGCGTACAAACGAATCTCGAAATCCTGGAGTCTAACGAATTGATTCCAAGGACCAGCGAGCAGGCACGACTCCTGGGTATTGACTTTTTTTCGGTCTTCTCGAGAGGCTCACAATTCAAAGTGGAATCTCTGATGTTTCGAATCGCAAAACCAGAGAATTACCTACTCGTTTCTCCAAGCAGGAAACAAGTCGGTCAGCAGAATGCTCTTGAATGTCTTCCGTTGGTGATGGAGCCCCAGAGTGACTTCTATACAAGTCCTCTTCTTGTCTTGGATTTCCAATCATTGTATCCCAGCATCATGATTGCGTACAACTATTGCTATTCCACGTTTCTCGGAAGGGCCCGCCTTTGGAGAGGTCGCAACAAGATGGGATTCATGGACTACAAAAGACAGCCGCGAGTATTGGAGTTGCTCAAGGACAAGATAAACATTGCACCGAATGGCATGATGTACGCAAAGCCGGAAGTACGGCGATCGCTCCTCGCAAGGATGCTTGCTGAGATACTGGAGACTCGGGTCATGGTCAAGACCGGCATGAAGATGGACAAGGACGACAAAGTGTTGCAGCGTCTTCTCAACAACCGACAACTTGCTCTCAAGCTAATTGCGAACGTCACATATGGCTATACATCGGCCTCGTTCTCCGGGCGAATGCCTTGCTCGGAGATTGCGGATAGCATTGTCCAATCTGGAAGGGAAACGCTGGAGAAGGCGATTGCGCTCATTCATTCTGTGGAAAGGTGGGGCGCCGAGGTGGTCTACGGAGATACAGACAGTCTTTTTGTGTATCTCAAAGGACGGACACGCGATGAAGCTTTCGATATCGGGCAGGAGATCGCCAACGCGGTCACTGACATCAATCCGCACCCTATCAAGCTTAAATTCGAAAAGGTCTACCATCCATGCGTGCTCCTCGCCAAGAAGCGCTACGTTGGCTTCAAATATGAGCATAGGAATCAGAAAGAACCCGAATTCGATGCAAAGGGCATCGAGACTGTGAGGCGAGATGGTACCCCAGCGGAACAGAAGATCGAAGAGAAGGCGCTGAAGCTCCTTTTCAGGACTGCGGACGTGTCTCAGGTAAAACGCTACTTTCAAAAGCAATGCGCGAAGATAATGCAAGGGAGAGTTTCGATCCAGGATTTCTGTTTCGCGAAGGAAGTTAGACTCGGTACCTACAGCGAAAGAGGTTTACTCCCTCCCGGCGCCATGATCAGCGCCAGAAAAATGGTCGAAGATCCCCGCTCAGAACCGCAGTATGGAGAGCGAGTTCCCTATGTCGTAGTTACTGGAGCTCCAGGATCAAGATTGGTTGACCGCTGCGTCGCCCCTGAAACGCTTCTCCACGACGCCGAGCTAGAGCTTGATGCCGAATACTACATCAACAAGAACATCATCCCACCACTGGAGCGGATCTTCAATCTTGTGGGGGCAAACGTCCGCCAATGGTACGAGGAAATGCCAAAGTTTCAGCGAATCCGCCGCATCGAAGGAGTAGCATCCGCCGCAGGAAAAGATGCGAGGGGGAAGACCCTGGAATCGTACATGAAATCATCATCGTGCATCGTTTGCAGATCCAAACTCGATGACACCGGTATCCCAGTGTGCTCCGACTGCTTGCATCAACCGCACATCTCGCTATTGTCCCTCGTTTCGCGCCAGCAGCAGGCCGAAAAGAGGGTCTCTGATCTCCATCGCATCTGTCAATCTTGCATGGGAGTCCCCTTTGGTGATGATGTGACATGTGATAGTAAAGACTGTCCTGTCTTTTATTCACGGACTCGGCACTTGGCGAGTTGGAAACATACAAAAGCCACATTGGAGCCTATCATCAAACTTTTGGAGAACCAAAGCGAGAGCGCCTTGGAATGGTAGATTTGGTATCAAGGGATTTTGGATTCAGTTTGTTATGCAACAATGGGTTCTGGTAAAGGGAGTTGGGCGAGTCAACTTCTCTTTCTGTTGATGGCGGCGTTTTGGCATTAGGAGGAGCATTTGCGCCTGGCCATAGATAGGATACTCGCATTACGTAACGCATATGGGGCAGTTAGCTTTCTTTCCTCGGTCACCGTACATTTACTTTTGTGAACCCGGTCCGGGGAAGGTTTCAGTATATTCATTAATCAAATGATATGAAGTCTGTTCATTATCCTAGATCACTTGGCGATGATTGTACGAAGAACCACAAGCTAGAACAACGCTTTGAGAACAGGTCGACGGAAAAGCCTAGTCTAAGCAAAAAACGCTACCACTGCAGGAGCTGATTGATGTAGTATCTCGACGATGAGGCCTTGAGTGCCAACCGAAGCGTCTGGGCGATGTGCCACGAAACTTGGCCGCGGACGGACCCCATGGTCGTCCTAACTGTCCAATATCTGATAGAGCATGTCGAGTGCAGATGGCTTGACGTCATCGTCTTCCTCCACGATGTCGATGCAGCTGCCCTTGATGCTCGTGCTGACCATGTTCGTCTGCTTCTCCGAATCAATTTCCGCTCCCTTACCTTCAGCCGGTTTGTCGAGTGCCAAGTCGTCATTGAGTTCCAGCAAGCTAGAGCCATCTGGGGCTGGGGCATTCGAATGCAACTGGTCGGAGGGAGGAGGGAAGCCGAGTTCCACAAGCCCGAAATCAAGCAGCTGGTCGAGAGACAGGATGCTCTCGCGTCTATTTTGAATCGCGGATACCTCTGCCTCTTTACTGGGCTGTGATGACGGTTCGGGTTCCTGATCACCCTCGAAGAGACCAAAGGGATCCTCGTAGATGCCCTTGAGAGAGTCTTGCGTGGGCTGGGTCCCATTGCGGTTCTCCTTGGGGACAGAAACGTCTTGACCAGGAACGGGATCGAGCGGATCCACGCTTGCGGTCGCAAGTGCACGCACAGTGGGTGCTGGATCTGGCTCAGGCTCTTCATAGTGACCTAAGGCAATCTTACCCAGGATGTTGTGCAGGATCCACGGGAAGCTGATAAAAGGCAGCTGATCGATTTTAGGTGTCGACTTATGGAAAAGCTTTTCGTCGGGAGGATTTTCAGCGCGAAACTTTTGAAGCGCAGCAGTCATTTCCTCGTGGGTGATACGATACATTGCAACTGCCAGAGGAGCAAGCAGCTCGAAGCTGCGGCCCCCGGCTTTCTCATAGCACTTCTTCCGGTACATTTCGCGGAGGGACGACGAGATCAGCCCCAACTCTTCATGAAACTTGTAGTCCTTGCTCATATTGCTGTGGCTTAGCACAAAGGTAGACCAAACCTCGAACTCGGTCTTGATCTCATGCTGAGCCATGATACGATGCATGGCTGCGTCGTAGTCAGCCTTGAGGTCCCGAGCAAACTGCACAAGATCATCGCTGACTCCCAGGGGGCATGTCAAGATTCGTTCGTCAAAGGGCATTTCAAGGCTGGGAACAAAGTCGATACGCTCCACGGCATCGTAGAGTTGCCCGAGAATCTTATTGGACTTATAGATCCTTTCCTTTGGCATGTGCTTCTTCTCCATGAAGTGAGGCCACATTTTCGGCTGCAGGCTGCGCGTCATGTTTGCTGGCTTGCCCGTCTTGTTGTAGTCCACCGCGTCGGAATGAAGCTGGGCTAGCCGTATGCACTTTTCTTCGTTGACACCGTCCTCGAGACGATCTGCCCAGGCAAGATGAGCGTGGGCGATTCTAGGAAGGAAATCGTTCTTCATGTATAAGACGAAGAAAGAAGTGATGTGGTTCACCGTGACATCCTGATCGAGATCCTGGGCTTTGTCGCTTGTGTACTTCATAGGCTTGCGGAACCAATCTTCGGGAACGAGATCTTGATCCCAAATCACAAGATAATCATCCCCGTCTAGATCTCCACCGGAGCACATGCTGGGAATGTCTCTATCCCCGATCTGTGGGAAGACGACGACATCCTTCAGATGACTCAACTGAGGAACATTGACGGCTCTGACTACCCGTATGTCACCAGGATGTAGAGACGGGTTACGGGCAAGGATACAGACTCCCTCAATGACTTCGCACTTCCCAGTGTCGGGGCGATGAACCTGGACGAAGATCTCGGGTAACGCGCCTAGCTTCTCTTCATAAGAGGCGCCCTTAGCTGGGACTCTTTCAGAGTAGCCCCTGAGAATGCCAGTCTCATCCATGCATCCAAGCAAGTTCGCCCCCTTCTCAATCACAATTTTTGCTTTCTCCTTCAAATACTTGAGATGCCAGGCCTTCCAGAGTCTCATTATGGACGTGACGAATGGTTCTCTGGAACTCCTGAACCCATCCAGGACCATCTGACTGACAACAAGTGTCATCTGATTGGGATCCACGTACTTCTTCAGCCAACACAGAGCCTGAGAATCACTCTCCATTGCTTCGTTCAGACTCTGTAGCATTGCTCTGAGCTTATCATGAAAGACCCGATCTTGAATGCCTAGAGAGGAAAGAACGATAATCAACTGTCGATTCAGAGTCGCCATGGAGAACTGGGACCAGCGGATAATCTCCAAGCCGTTGTGAACCGCTGCAAATTTGTATTGACTCTTGCGGATGTGCACCTCTTGACGTTGGGCCTCGGGAGAAACCGTTAACATTCCTTTGCAGCCTCCGAGACGAAACTGGAACGCCGACGGTGGGTCGTCACTTGGTGTTTTGATTTTGAGCTCCGAAGCTGTCATCTGCGCCAGGAACTTTGAAATTCGTCCCACACCGTCTGAAAAAGTGTATCCGTGTCGGACAACATCATCGATCAAACGGATCTGTACCGGACAGCCAGCTATAGCTCGGGTGGTTGAGAAGCACTGCCCCAGCCTTGCAGCATGCTTAGCAACGTTGCGTATGTCGTTGAATGTTCCCATCCAGGCTCGGATGTTCGCAGCCGTCAAATTGGGTAGAGGAGCAAAGAAGTAGGCTCCATGCTCTCGAAATTGTGAGTTACCGAAGGCCAGAAACTCATAACGCCTGTCGCCAATGACGATACCATTCGCCAACGCTCTCTTAATGCGAGTAAACACCTCGTCCATTGTGTTGTCAACGGTTGAATTGATGCGGCCGAGTAGCCTTTCGTCCGTGAATCGAACACGAAGAAAGCGATCGGCATACTCGATATAATACCGGATCACACGGTTCGAGATATCAACAGATGGAGTATTATAGTAGATTGTGGTGGGTGTAATTCTGGCTGAGCGCATGTAGCAACAGTAAGAGGGTATCTTAGCGCGAGTTGAACCTTTGACGAACTTGAGATCGAAGATCCTCATCGGGTCATGGTAGACTTCTTTCTTGGTAGCCACATGCTCCAGAAGCTTAACCGCTTCGGATTCCCCTAGATCGAGCAATTTGACCGCGAATTCGCGGGTCATGGTAAACTCAGAAAGGTAATTGTGGGATAGACAGACCTCGAGCTGGTACCGCACAGGGAAAGGCAGGTGGACATAAGATTCATCTCCTAATTCTTCCACGGAAGATACTATCTTCTTGGAGGATTGTAAGTCTGCGAAGTCAATCCATCTCCAAATTGGTGGAGGTCTTTCCTGCGTCTGGTCCAATACTGAGAACCGGCTCGTATTTTCAATGGCGATATTGTAGTCTTTCAAAATGTTGCAAAACAATTCGAATCTTTCCTCATCCTTCTTGCTGAGAGTCTTGGGGTATGTTATTCTGAAAGCGTTCCAGCGGCCTAGGGCAAAGTCGTTAGATTCGAATGGAAGGAGCGGAGGAAGTGAAAATCGAAGTCAAACACTAAGACGTACCTATATCAATCACTGGTTTCGACCGCTTTAAGCTCACGGGTAGAGTAGATATCTCATCCGGGCTGTGTACCACAGAAGTCTGCCGATACCAGGAATCTGATTCTCTCCAAGAGATGTCATCAGTGAAAGTGACCCGGGTCTCTTGAATGCGTCGATGATAGATGGCAGGCGAATCCAGGAATGTTAGATGTGAGACTTCACTTGATTTTGGGTCCTGCATTTGGTACATTTTCACGAGTTGCACGAATGGAATCCTGAGGCGATACTGGTTGTAAGTCTCGCCTGTTGAAGCTGATTTTAGCTGCTTGTTAAAAATGGGCAACTGGAAGTGAACGAAGACGTCTCTACGCTTCAGGTCAATGACCAAAAAAGCCCGCTCGTTTCTTTCATTTCCGACGGTACGCATTGGAAGCATGGATGTCTCACTAACGAGAACGCCTATGTCCATTAATGCTATAGGCAGTTTCTGTATCGCTCATGACGAATCAGCATTGAAAGCTCGTACAGTAAGGAAAGGTGCTTAGACCCACCACCTCAGCAGGATACATCGTATTAGGACGAACAGGACTTTGAATCTGAACATCTGGACGTTTGGTGTCGAGGGTAATTGAGACGAATGAGGTCTTCCCATTTGTGAGTGTGATGGGATACGTCCCATGGCACCAGAAATCTTTCTGAGGAGGAGGTCTGCTGAACCGGTTAGGCCAATGCATGGAATGGAGAGCTGAGTCTGCTGACTGACTTGAAGCGAATCTTTCCTCTGGATTCTCTATTTCCATGAAAGTCTTCAAAGATGTCTATCGAAAACACATGTCCCTCTCTGCTGAATGCTTGCCAAAGACAGTATGTGTCCGCTTCCCTCGGTATGTTGAAGACGTTCACGACCACCGACTCCCACAGTCTCCACGGACACAAAATTGTGGATGGGTGCTGTAGAACCTGCGGTATCTGTTGCCATTGATTCCGTTGTGGGTTCGCAGGTGGAACTGGCTGCCGTGAACGTGAGGCCTGAGACGGAACTTGCTGTCTTGAGTGCTGCAAAGGACGCTTCCGCTCACGCAGAAGCGTACTTCTAGGTCGTGAAGCTTGAGGCATTGCTGTTGGTTTTGCTCTTCTTGTGAATGGTAACGGAGAAGGTGAGGAAGACGA